CCCAGGCGCCGGATGGGCTTCGCTGATCGGCCGCTCTCCGCCAGGCGTCGATTGCGGACCGGCGTAGGGTGGTGGCGGGCGGCGCTGCGCCTCGGCCGACCGATCCGCGGCGCCAGGCAAGGTGCCGTCGATCTGCGTGTCCGGGTGACCCGCTGCGCGCAGGGAGCCGTGCTCGTCGGGCTGGTCAAAGGCGGTGGCTTGGTAGAGGTAGTCGGTCTGGAACGCCTGCTCGTTGCTCTGGTCGGTCGACGACGACCAGAGGGCGAGGTCGTTGGCATTGCCGCCAAGCAGCGGCGTGCCGTCCGGGCCCAGCCCGAGCGCAGTCTCTGCGAAGCCGTCGCCGAACACCTGCGGCGCATCGAACACGTTGACGCGAGTGTGCGTGGACTGGAGGGAGTGAGGCAGGGCAGAAGCGCGCGACGGATCGGGACGGCGGAGGCGTCAGCCACCGGTTCCAGAAGACGTTGTGGAGCACAGGCGGACGGAGGCGCCTCGGGCATGCCGGCCACTCACATATTCGTACTCGGGCGCCTCGTCGAGGAGCGACGCCGGCAACTCCGGGAAGCTGAGGGTCGAGTCGGCAAGATCGCTCCGGAGCCCGTTCGAAGACGCCGGATGGGGGTAGCCGAGCATCGTGGCCGACGACGAGGTGAGGTCGCCGTCGAAATCGGCGGCGGGATAGGTGGGGCCGTCGGGCGGGCACGAGTTGGTCTCCATGGGCGCCACGTGGTCCTGCGCCATGAAGCGGAACATGGCCTCGGTGGGCCTGCCCGCCAGCGATGCGGGCTCGCCGTAGTGCGCGCCGTAGACCGAGTCGCCGACGTCCTTTGGCTGTTGCTGTTGAAACGACGCAGACGTCGCCCGCGACGGGTCGTTGTAGGAATGGTCAAGGTCTTGAGACATTCCTGGGAAGTGGGCGGTGCGAGGCGTCTGTAGCAGCGTGGTCATCGCAGTCGGTTCGATCGTCGAGTCGAGGCCGGGCGGAGTCGACCGTGCTATCGCGTCCGTGTCGAGGCAGCGACGTGTGAATGGGATGGGATGGGAAAGGCCGTGTCAGTCAAGAGAGGACTCATCGGGAATGGGAGCGCGGGACCGCCGGCGTCGACCCACCAGAGCTGCTTGAGGAAGGTGGGCAAAGGCCGGTTGCCTCGAGATGGATGTCGTCGACGGGAACTCGGCGGACACTGCGGTCTTGGCGACAGAGGTGGTGCAGGGGGCGTCGGAGAGGCTGGCGGGGCGTTGAGCGGGCTGGGCAGCGGGAGGGTCCGAAAGGCGCAGGAAGATGCTCAAGACCAGGGAGGGATCGCTTTATAGAGGTGCTGTATGGCGGCGGCGGCGTCGGCGGCGTCGGCGGCGGCGATGGGCGGGCGCAGCAATGGCAAGTCGGCACGGTGACGGGATCGGTCGGACCGATCGACGGGCACGCACGCAGATGCGGGTGGGAGTGCACTCGTGCCTCTTGTGATCCGAGCCAAGGGGCGACCTCGTCGTGGGGGAGGGATCAGGGCGAGGGCCACTGGGTGGCTCTAAGGGCAAGATGGGTGCAGGAGGGCTGAAGGGGGACCGCGGGCGCCGTCTAGGGCGGTGATGACGGGCGAGTCCTAAAGTAGGCGAATCGGGCCTGAGCGCCGTCCAGCGAGCGGGCGGGTCGAGTGCCTTGCTTGGCGTCGACGCCGGCGGATAGCTCGCAGTGGGGACCTGTCGGTCTGACGTGCAGGCCGAGGCGAAACGCAACGAGCTTGATGACCGGTGTACGCAGCGGCGGCGGGCCAACCTCGGTGCTGGATCAAGAGCACGAGGGACGAGGTGGACGACAGGAGACGGTGGCGGTGGCCGGAGCGCAGAGGCAGAGGAAGCGATAGGCTGCCGGGGCTGCGGTAGAAAGAGGGTTGGTTGCAAGTTGTGCCTCGGCGAAACGAGACGGCCTGCACAGGGTGGGTGGGGTGTGCGACGACGTGGACGTGTCTATGACGTGGCACGGACCGATGCTGGCCGGCCTCGAGGATGCAAACGGCGGCGGGTAGTCTGAGCAGGCGTGCGTGCTGCTGACCTGCCTCCGGACGGTTAGAGGAGGGCGAGGGCGATTTCGAGTCGGTGGGCGTCGCCGGAGAGGGCCGAGATGAAGTCGAGCGCGGCAGAGGGAGCAGTGCGTGCGTGCGTGCGCGTCGTCGGCTGTCGTCCCGAGATGCGGGCAGCAGTGCTGGAGTGGCGTTCGATCGAGTTGCTCCGGGAGCGTCCACGGCCAAAGGCGGGCAGGACAAGCAAGCAAGCGAGACCAGTGTTGCGCTCGGCGCTTTGTTTGGGCGCGCGGGCGGGCAATCGAGCGTTCGAGCGGGCTGGCGGGCGGATCAGCCGGTCGAGGTGTGGATGTTGAAAGCTGAAAGCGGACGACGACGATAGCGAGCAAGGGCGAGAGGCTGGCTGCGACTATAGACTACTGTATGTGTGGCTGGCGCCGTCGAAGTCGGGCGATGACAGCTGCTGACCTGACGGGATCTCGTTACGAGGCGGCCTCGGGCGGGCGGTAATGAAGTGAGATGAGGTGAGAGTGGACGGTGGCCGGCGGAGGGCGGAGGGCGGAGGGCGAAGCCGATACGAGGCTAGGTCGACCGGGAATGGTTGACGAGGTGGGTGAAGTAGGCAAGGGACGGGGCGCGGCGTGATGATGGGAGGAGGAGACGAGGGTGAGGGAAGGGGGGAGGACGGAGCGGGCCGACGAAGCCAGCGCCGGCTATGTAGAAGAGGGCGAGGTGGGCGACGAGGAGCTGGGCGTCGAAGGCCGGCCGCGATTGTTCTGCAGCAAAAGCAGACAGGCCGGCAGAAGGCAGCCAGGGAGGCGCGGAGGGTTCCGTCTACGCTGCGCTGTGCCTTGACCGCTGCTGGCGAGGATGGCGGAAGGGTAGCGAGGTGGCGACGAGGCGCTCTGCCCTGCCCTGCCTGCTGCTAGCTGTAGCTGCCCGCTGTGTTGCGTGCTGGCCGACTACGGAGCGTGTAGGTACGCGAGACGAGGCCCGGCCACAGGGCAGGGCAGGTGAGCTACCGTAGCAGGATGGGCTAGGCTAGGCAAGGCTAGGGTCGCTGGCCGACGGACGGACCGAGACAGGCAGCAGCAGCAGCAGCAGACAGGTGGTTTGGTTGATCGCTGCTGCAGGCCGCTTGCTGACTTGGGGCTCTATTGTGACCGAGATTGGAGAATACGGGCTGTCATGCAGGGTCGATGAAGGCCAAGAAAGTGGCGGGTCAGGCCAGACCAGGGCGGGCGGGCGAGGCCGGGCGGGCGAGCGGGAAGTCGTCGGGACTGGGCCGAGAGGGACCAGGGCGAAGGCAGGAGCGAGGGCGAGGGCGAGGGCGAGATGGTGGTGTGTGTCAGGAAGCTGGGGGGGTCGCGACGACGAGACGAAAGAATCTGGGCCAGGCCTGCTGGCTAGCGAGCAGGGGCAGGCTAGGAGACAGCAGACAAGCGGACAGCCAGGCCAGCCCAGGCCAGGCTAGGGTGGCCTGGTGCGCTCCAATTTGCCGCTCCACCGGCTTGGACCGGCCAGCTCAGCCTCGCCCCTTCCTCCCGGGTGCGCCTCTGGCCTGCCCTCGACGGCGTGCTATGGTGCAGCCTCGTCGGACGCCTTCTTCCTGGGTTCAGGCAGGCTAGAGGTCGACGTCGCCGTCGTCGTCGTCGTCGTCGTCGTCGCTTCGCCGCCGTCGAACGTGCTGGCTGGCTGGCCGCCTTCTGCTGCTGTCTCCCTGCTGCTGCTGCTGCTGCCGCCGCCGCCGGCCTCCTGTACGCAGATGCACCTTCGCCGAGACCTCGCCAGCCAGCCTGGCAAGCGAAGGAGGGCAGCAGAGCAGCTCCGAGATGACCAGCAAACGACGCACGGGCTGTCGGTCGAGGCAGGCAAGGGGCCGAGGAGCAGATCAGATGGAGCGAGGGGATCTCCGGCCTGCGCCAGGATGGCCAGCAGCAGGCAGGCAGTCGGGTGGCATGCGTACGTGGGTGGGCCCTGCCTGCCTGCCTGCCTGCCTGCCTGCGTCCGCCTGTTTGGATTTTCCATCTGCGCTGCCAGGCAGGCAGGCCAGGCCATGCTGCTGGCCCCGCGCGCGCCCGCCCCTGTCTGCTGCTGCTGATGCCTGCCGGCTGCTCGCCGATCCGATCTCCGAGCGGAGCCATCTGCGTGCTTGGCTCCACCCGCTCTCTGCTCGACGACGACGGCGGCGATGCCTCGCCGAGGCTCTCCCTGCAGGCAGGCTGGCCTTGCAACGAGGAAAAGGTGGCGGGGCCGGGTCAAGCTCTCTAGGTCAGGCCATCGGCACCGCGCACCTTCGCCGTCGTCGTTTGCTTGCTTGCTTGCAGCTGGCTTGCTCGTCGTCTCGCCTTTCTGCCGTACCGCTCCAGCGAGGCAGGAGGCGGGAGGCGGGAGGCGACCGGCATGGATCTAGAAAGAGGCCGGGCCAAGCCGCCCAGGTTTCCTTCCAGCTGGCAGGCGGATGCCGCAAGCTGAGTGCGGGTCCAGGACGACCGACAGACAGAAGACGTGCGACGGAGCATCGACGAACGAGCACGACGACGGCACAAAGAGATAGAGAGAGAAGCAAGCTTGCGTCGGCCGGGGCCAGACGGGCGAGCCGGAGCCCGACCCACGGCGGTGGTGGCGAGAGGTCACGTCGCCTCGAGCGGGCAGAGCAAGCCAGCCAGCAGCGGCGGCTGCCCGACGGTGCGGGCCTGCGAGGCAGGCGTGGTGCCCTAGCCTGTCCAGCTGCCTGGCTGCCTGGCTGCCTGCCCGCCTGGCTCGAACTTGGGCGCAAGCAAATTGGGCGCGTTTGGCTGCAACCGCCGACATGCCAGCGCGCCGCCTGCTGGCAGCCTGCCTGCCTGCCCGGCCAGCTCGCCTAGCGCCCGGATGAGGCGTTTTGGCGTCGGACAAGTGCGCCCGCGCCGAAGCCCTGCTGCTGGCCCGCTGGCCTGCGGCCGACTACGCTCGTTTGTGGGCCGGCCTCTCGATTTTGCCGCCACGCCGCTGCCTGCCAGAGGCCAGGCCAGGCCAGGCCTCCTCCGCGCGTCGCGGCCAGAGCACGGCACTCTGAATGCCTGCGGATCTCAGGACAAAAGAGCGGCCACCCAGCAGCAGCTCGGATAGCAAGAACGAAGCCGGGTCGAGTCGATGCGAGATGCGAGGCCATGGCGAGGCAGGCAAGACGTACGACACGTACGTACATGCGATGGGCCGGATTGAGCGAGTGTGGTAGCGCGCCGTCGTCGCCGTCAGGTCGCGCGCAGCAGCAGCCGCAGCACCGGCGGCAGCAAGCAGAGTGGCGACATCCCGTCCTGTCCTGTCCTGGCCTGGCCTGGTCTGGCTCGACGAGGTGTCGTTACGCGACCAAGGTCGCTTGTAGTCGCTCCTCGCTGCTGCCTAGCTCGCTCGCGATACGCTCCACCAGGCTTGGAGCGCGCGCGTCGTCGTGAAAGGCGATATCGACTCGGTGGTCGATGCCACCTCACGTCGGCTCGCTTCAGCTCGCGGCTCCAGCGAGAAGATATCGTCTTGTCCCCCTGCATCCGGCGCACCACTTAACGTCGTCGTCGTCCATGCGGAGCCGCCATCTCTTGACTTGTTGGCTCCGCGGAAAGGCGGCGTCGTGCGTGGCTCGTCGGAAGTCGACGCGTCCGTCGCTGCTCGCCTGCGGCTACCGCGTACCGGGTCCTGTCGACCGGCTTTGTGGCACTGTATGTCGATAGCGTGAGATCCGGGGCGATCAAACCCCTACTGTGCCTACACGCTATCGCAATCAGATTGACGAGAGAGAGATTGGACGTCTCCTCGCGCCCGTGTACCTCGCAAAAAGCTCCGCGGGCGGGGAGGAGGGGCGGTCGGGCAAGAGGGATAGCGGGGGTGGCGGCAGGGGCGGCGGCTGAGCCGGAGGCGGAGGCGAGCTAGGGGACAGGAAGAGGTAGAGTAGTGGTGCAGCAACGTGCTTCGAGAGCCGGCACCGACGGCGAGGTAGGTAAGTACTGACACCTCGAGCCGGCGCCATGACAGGCGGGTCCAAGAGGTCGCTACCGGCGTTCTGGGCCACCCCCGAGCACTCCGCGGAGTCGTCGACGATCAATCAAGCGGATCTACACCCACGCTTTCCGCTGGTTAAGGCTCCAGATGGGCGGCTGAGGGAGCAGAGTGGTGCTTAGCGTGGACAGGTCGCTGCCGTACCGACACCGAGAGAGAGAGAGAGAGGAGGAGGAGGAGAGAGGAGGGAGGGAGGAAGAAGACTCCGCCCAATCAACCGATAGAGGAGCAATATTCGCCACCGGAATTGTTCGTATGGCGTCCTAGCGTGGGACGGCGTGGCGCGGAATGGCAGGGGAGGCTCGGCATGGCCTGACCTGGCCTGGCCTTGCCGGGGGGGTTTCGGCACGAGGCCGCGGCTGAGACACCCAAGACTCCTCTATATCTTGCTTGCTTGCTTGCTGCTGCTGCTGCTGCTGATGATGATGATGAGCCAGATGAGCCACTCCAAACCTAAACGCGCAAACATCCCGAGCGAGGCGGCTCGATTCAGCCCAGGGCCGGCCCCTGCTACGGTCAGTCAGGTGGCGGCTGCCGCCCATGACTCTGCCAGGTACCGGTACCGGTTCCCGCCACTCACACTCTGTACGTTACTGTATGTACGTGCCGGCACCGGCCAATATGGTCTGCACGTCCGCGATAGCGCTGAAGGCTTTTTACCCGCCTCAGACCCATCAGCCGCCGCCGCCGCCGCTATCGAGTGCCTCGGCGCTATAGATGTTGGATGTCCGCGGCCTTGGCCGGTGGTCTCTTGAGTCGTGCCGGCATCGTCCAAGACGTCTTGGTGAGGACACGCAGCCTTGACGGCGCTGCGCAGCAGAGGTGCGCCCGCTGACGAGACCGCCGTCAGTCATGGTTGGCAAAGTGTACGTCTGGTCTGATCCATCTCGGAGAAGCAGCTGGCGCGTAGCATGCCGTAGAGGGGGCACCTTGGCCACGCCTCGCACGCACCGTCCAAAGCAAGTGCCGAACCGCACCAAGAGGCAAGTGTCGGCTTGCCCGGCGAGGCTGAGCAAGAACGGTCCGCGACCATGCCAGATCGGACGCGCTGGCGGCGGCGGCGGCGGCGGCGGCGGCGGCGGAGAGGAAATAGAACAAGGTAGTCTGACGAGTGCAGGCCAAAGAGTAGAGCGTGCTGGAAGCCGCCACGGAGGTCGGTCCGGGAGCGTCGGAAGCGGCCACCTCTTTCCGTCGAGAGAAGCCGGACCGCCACTCGATTTCGCCGACAATCTACCGATACGACGGCAGAGACGAGCAGCCAACCAGGTGGGCCGGCACGACAGGCGGAGGCGGAGGCGCAGGTGACCAAGGGCGTCAGGGCAGGTGGTCGTCGGGGGCGAGGTAGAGTTTGCGATATAGTAGTGGATTCAATCGATCCACATGCCAAATGGCGGGCTGGGCTGGGCTGGGCCTGGCCAGGCCAGGGCGGCCGTGACGAGCCGGCGTGACGCAGGCGGGGATGAAAATCTCGTCTCGCCGGTCGCGCAAAGGGCGAGGGCGAGGGCGAGGGCGAGGTCGAGGTCGAGGTCGATGCTGATGACGAGCGGGGCGAGGGTGCGCCGACCATCACGAGTGCCGAGCCGGCAGCTGATCTTCGCCTGCCTGCCTGCCTGCCTGCCTGCCTTTCTCTCTCGCGCGCTCGAGGTTGCTAGAGCGTGCTAGGCCTGTCGGTGGCGGATCGCGAGCGAGCGTCAGGTGCAGGCAGGGTATCAGCGAGGTCAAGTGAGCAGCCCAACCCGGATTCAGTACAGTAAGTACTAGTCAGGCCGTGGCCCCGCTTGCCTGGTTCAGACCACCACCAGGGATGCGGTGGCGTGCAGGAGCAGGTACGGCCGTCGATCCATCGGGCGTTGCCTTCTGTTTGCGTCGAAGCCCACTACGGGCGAACGACAGGCGGGTTCCATGCGCAGGCGCTCCTCGAACGAACCCAGCCTCGTCGTAGTCCGCCTACCTGCCGACTAACCAAGGCGGGTTTTGTTTGGGCGTTGCAGATAGAGCCAGACTTGGCGCGGGGACCGGCAGGCCAGGGACGGGCGGCCACCCTACCGAGGTACCGGTCGGTACGGTACTGCATACAGAGTACAGTAGTACTCATCTGTCGGGGCGGCCAAGTTGAGGCTGGATCCGGTGGCGCAATGAAACACCACTCCGGTTCGATTGATCATCACGTCCCCCGTAGCGTGGGGAATGGTGGCAAGCGAGGGTCGTACTGCCAGGCAAGGCCGGCCGGGCGGCGTGCGGCGAATCGCGCGCGGTGCCGTGCACCTGTGGGGGTCGCCAAGGGGCTCCTTGGACGCCGTCCGACCCCATGGTGGCATCAGTGGGGCCGAATGGATGGGTGGCCCCTTGCGAGGAGTCCCCGAGTGTCGGAGGAGACGCCTTGGCGGTAGCGAGCGGCCACGACACGATCTGGTGGTTGGCCGCAGGTGGTCTGGACCTGGGCCTGCCTGTACCATCTCTGCGCGTCGAAGATCATCGTCCGCCGTCGGATGCACTTCCATGCTGCCGTATGCACATGTGCGCGGCCGAAGACCATCTCGTCGCCACCGCCTCCCCTAAGTCCGCGTCGCCGCTGGTCCAGAAGCGCCTGCGGCTGCCGACACCTCGGGCTCCGAAGCAAGAGGCTAGGTAGGTGGGATCTGGGCGGCCAAAGTAGATACCTCTGGTAGCGTGTGAAGTGGCGGCCACTTCGGTGACCTGCCAAGCTCGACGTGCAGTCAAGCGAACCCGTCACCCAACGCTGAGATTGAAACCCGCTCGGGAACCGACGAGGTGCAAGGATGGCGACAGGGAGGAGGTCCGCAACTTGCTCGAGGGTGGTGTCGGCGGGACCCGCCTTCTGTCATAGGTTCAGGTGGCCTCCGAGCCATCATCGGACAGCCCCCGCCAACATCCAAGATCGGCGGATCCGACTGGTGCGCTGATGGCTGCCGGTATCGGCGGTCGGCGGTCGGCGGGACCGGCAAGTCGAGCTGCTGTGCGATCCGCCCACCACCACGCGTGGATCCTGCCACCATCCCCATCGACCCCATCGACGCACGACGAGCAAGCCGTTGCACTGGTCCTCGACTCGACTGCCGGCCGGCATCTCTCCTTTCGGACAAGGCCGTCGGCGCAGCACGGCAACGGCAGGGAGGAGCACGCCGACCGTCTCGGGATGCCGTCAGTGTCCGGAACAGCCTAGCCTATGTGGTCCGTTGACCCGTCGAGGCCGCGGTACGAGCAACCCGCCGCATACCCACCGACAAGATCCGCGAAGCCGCAGCAAGGGATCCCCCTGCCGCACTGCCACCCGCTGTATGTATGTAGGGACGGAGGAACGTACGTACGTACGTACGTACGTACGTACTGGCGTCGGCTTACTCACTGTGCTCACTGTATGCGCGCGGCCGACAATCTGGCAGGATCGCGGATCGGTCAAGCTGCCGCTGCTGCTAATGCAGTCTCGGGATGGCCGGCCAGCCAACGTCCCAGCTCGCTCGCCGGGTCGTCGAGGACGTTCTCGTCCTCGTCGCGGCTCGCTGTCCATTGTCCCTTGTCGCCTGTCCTCGCTCTCAAGTCGCGACGCCAGGGAGGGGCGGATGGAGGCCGATCAGAAGCAAGCAGGCAGGCTTGTGTGTCACCGGCGTGCGGGCGGCATCGCAGCTGCATGGCGGGCCCATTGATCTGTCGCCCTTGCGCAGCGGCTCGCCCTTCGTCGTGCCGCCACACGAGCCAGGTTCCGCAGCTTGCCGGCCAGAGGTACCGCTACGCAAGGTCTTCGATGATGCTGGGTTTGGCCGGCTGCCTGCTTGCCGGCCGGGCCCGCGCCGGATGACTCTGCTCGCATCACGCTGGCGCCCGACGAGCCCGCGTTCCTCCGTGAGGTGTTTGTGCGTGCGTGCGTGCGTGCGTGCGTGCGTGTGTGCAAGCATGGTTCGAGAACGACGCAGCCTCGTCGTTCCGACAGAGCACCGTACGTCCGGTAACGCCACCCGCGCCGCCGCGCGAGGGGTGCCAGGCAGCATTCAGGAAGAGTCCGCCTCCGCAGCAGGCAGGGTCTTTTGCTCCGACATGACCGGCCAACGCGCGCTGACCGACGTACAGTACTGTACTGTAGGTGCATGCTCTCTGGCGTCGAGACTCGACAGAGAGCCGGAGCGATCCCGTGCGGTTTTCCCGTTGTACGTAAGTCGGTACCGCCTGCGTGTGTCATGCGTCGCAGCGGGCGTTGGGGGACCCGAGAAGGCGTCAATGGAGATAGGCGGGCGGGGTGGCCCTTCATCGCGAGAGCAAGGCCGGGTCGGGCTGCCAGGTCGGGCAGCGCCGTCCGGAGCTCCGCTGCCGTTCCCAGGACGTACTCGCCGCGCTTGGGCGATACGACGCTGCCGGCCCTTTGTCGTCGACGTCGTCGTAGTCGAGCGAGGCTGAAAGAGGCGAAGGGAGTGGCCGAAGCGAAGAGTGCTGGCTCCCGGCGTGCTGTACGTAACCCGAACCGTGCCGACGACCGCAGAGCGAGAGAGAGAGAGGGAGAGGGAGAGCAGGAAGATGGCGCTGGCGCACGGACTGGAAGAAAGGAAAGGCAGGCCAGGCCAGGCAGGAAGGGGCGGCGCGGCGTTCTTTTTTCGCTTCTTTCGACGTGACAGACGCCGCAACCACGAAGCTCCGCAAGGCTCTCTCTCTCTCTTTGCTGGCTGGCCCGCGTGATGTACTGCTTCCGCCTTCTTCGACGACCTGGCTCCACCCACGATCCCTTCGGCCTCCGGACGGACGGCGTTTGCACCTCGCACGGCGTGTAGGTGCTGTGGAGCTCACCTGCGCGCGAAGCCGACCTCGTCGAATCTATGTATGTGCGTGTGCGTGCACGAAGACGAACGCGCATGCCTCTGGGTCCCGCCCGCCTGCCCGCGTCTCGTCTTGGCTGCGTTGCCGGGATGGGTGGCGGAGCGAAGAGAAGAGAAGGGCATGCTGGCTGGAGATGCGACCGTGCCAACGTAGGTGTGTAGGTACGTACATACGGCGAACAGCGGCAGCGGCTTCCATGGGTCGGCCAATTCGTCGAGCGTCGAACGTCGAACTTCGACGTCGTCCAGCGAGAGGCTCGAATGGAGCGCCGTTCCGGTCATCCATCTCTTCTCGGCATGCATCGTCGGGCTGCCGTACAGTACATGCTCTGTGGGCGCACGATACTTCTGTACTTACTCCTGCTCCTGCAGCACGGTTTCGATGTCGGATTGTCCTTGATCCTGGGTACGCTCCGCTCCGCTTCGCTTGATCGTCGTCGTCGACGTCGACGTCGCTCCAAACACGGGCTGGGTGGCTGCGCCTGCCTGTACGTCGCATGATGGTTTCCCAAGCTGTGCTGTCTGTCTGCAGGGCAGTGCGTCGAACGTACTCTGCGCTAGACCTAGCCGGCCCCGTCTGTAGCGCCATCGACGACAGCGAGCCTGTGCGGTCCCGTCGGCCATGGTCCGCCCTGTTGCTCGCTCCTCTTTTGTGGCGGGCTAGCTGGATCCGGGCCTGGGCGTCGGTGGCACGCAGCGTTGTCAGGGGCAACGCCATCGGAGCCCAAAGGACACGTACTAGGCAGGACAGTGCAGCGCAGCGCGGCGGCCCAGAGCTGGGTTCGCTCCGCCATCCTGCGGCTCAGCCCAGAGATAGTCAGAGAGAGGCCCCAACATCGCGTTCCTCGCCAGGCATGGGCGGATCCTGCAGCCAAGGATCCCTCGTGGTGCAGGCCAGGCAGGTTCGAAGTTCCGGCCCGTCTTGCAGTCGGTGCGGCTGTTCCGTTGGACATCGTAGCAGCCTGCTACAGTACCTACAGGGCATGGACCGTTAGCCAGCAAGTTGCGCAGTGAGCCGGCGGGCCGAGCGTCGTCTAGGGTGCGCAGCGTCCCCTTCGGCGATGGCGATGGACAAAAGACGAGACAGACGGCCAAGCGACGGCACCATCCGACGGCTCACCTTGAGAACTCGGGGCTAGTTGGCTGTTTGTGCATCGCCACCAAAGGCAGAGAGAGAATAAGAATCGTTTGAGCAGACAGCAAGCGTTGGTCGCTTTAGCGGAGCCCTGCGATGGAAGCATGTCGTACCATGTAGGTGGACCGGTGAGGGGAGACCCGCCCGTCGACGCCGGAGATCTCGTGGCCGATCTCGGTGTCGGAGAGCCAACAGCAAAGCAAGCAAACGCCTCGATTGCGCCCTCGCTTGCTGGCGGGTTGCCACGCGCACCAGCTTGCTTGCTTGCCCTTCGATCTGTCGTCTGGCTATGGGGGTCAGACGAGGCCAGGCGAGGCGAGGCGATGCGATGCGATGCTGAGTCGACAATCGACCCCGCCCGACGTTTGTGCACCGCCACATACCCTCGATGGCCTCCCCTCGACTCCAGTCTGGCCCGGACGGTGCGCCGCGCCGCGCCGCGCCGAGCCGAACCGAACCATGAAAGCAGTTCGCGCGATGCTGCAGCGAGGACGTGGATCTTGCAGAGATGAAGCGCTCCCGCCTCGCCTCTCCTCGCCTCGCCCTGCCCTGATCCTCGGTCGTTGATGCCTGTCCATGCTGCAATGGCAGGCGGGCAGACAGGCGGGCAGGAAGACGGAGCGGGAGCGGGCCGAGAAGCCGGACGCCGGGCCGAGTCCGCCTGCCATAAAGTTTCGGCGAGCGCGCAGATGGAAGAGAGGTCTTGCTTGGCCTGGCCTGGCCTCGTCTGGCTTGCGGTCGTGTCACGCAGCTCATTTGGGCGGAGTCAGGGATGAGCGACAGCCCGTCGGGCCCCGTATCGTCGTCTTTCCTGCCGCAGGTATAGAGAGCTCGAGTGGGGGAAAGCAGAGGGAGAGGGGTGGTCCTGGAACCCATGAAGCTGTCGACCGCCGCCTCTCTCGCCGCGTCTTCGTACTGTACAGTAGCGCGCAGCGAAGTCGCCTGAACGTCAGTGCACTCACCTGCCTCTGCTCCATCGCGCATCGTCATCATCCAGTCCCGGGTGGCGCAGCGACGGTACGTAGATGAGCAGAGCACTGCAGCGGAAAAACTGCCGTACGTGTCGGCGCAGCCCACGGTACCCTGGCGCCGTAGCCTGTCTCCGCCCTCGGGTTGATCTCGTTTGCTCGATCTGCTGGAGCAAGCCGTGCCGTGCCGTAGCTTACCTAGCCGGATCGGTGCAGATGATATGGTCGACGCAAGCAAGCTAAGCCTGGAAGGGTGATGCGATCGGTCCGAGATGCGATGGTGGCATCGACTGGTCGAGCTGCGGTCTGTGGCGATGTGGGTCGGCGCATGCGAGCACTGAGGCGGGCGGGCAGCTGTATGTTGGGCTTCCGTCCCGGCTTTTTCTCTCTTCCCTGCCTCGCCGCCGCCGCCGCCGCCGCTGCTGAGGTTCACATGCATGCATGCGATGCACGTCCCATCAGCCACGCCGTCTCACTACTGCCATGCCGTCGCCCCGCCCAGCCGGCCATGTCCGCCTTTGGATCTGTCACCGCGCGTGCCGTCTTCGCCCCCCCAACAAACCCCATCGACAGCGGCAGATCCAGCTTAGCCTGCCGCCTGCTGTTTGGGGAGCGTACCGAAACCGCACCGTGCTCGGCGGGGCGGTGCGGTACGTACGGCCCCAGGTCTTGCCGAACCGAGCCGACGTGTGCTTAAAGTGCCTCGCCATTGAATCACCAGGTCAAGCCACCCGCCGCCCCCCGCCGTGCCACGTATCGGTCCAGACTCGGCGTCGTCGGTCGTGCGCGTGCTGCGTGGGCGCAGTCGCCATCTCCATCGACATCGCCATCAGGCTAGGCTAGGCTAGGCTCGGCATCGCGGCAGCAGCCTTCCCGTCGCAACTGAGCGGGAGTGAGCGTGTCGCGAGCCAGCGCCTGGACCGCACATCTGCGCCACCTGCGCGCCGTCATGGGTCCGACTCTGTGGCGGTACCGTAGCTGAGCTCAAAGACGGCCCGCCCCCCCATCGCACTCCGACCTGCCTGCCTGCCTGCCTGCTGCAACGACAGCGCCAACGGACATTTGCCGGAGCACGTCACAGCCTCGCTCGGTCGCACGGCGCAATCCCGGAGGAGGTGCCGGTACCGGTAGCGACCGTCGCATCGGATAGAAGAGACGGAAGGTGGCCTGGCCTGGCCTGCTGGTGGTATGTCGTATGCTGTATGTATGTGCCTTCAATCGGGGGCGGGCCAACGAGATGGGAGAGAGACGAAAGCGAGGGAGCCGCCGCCGCCGCCGTCGGCCGGCCTAGGCCAGCTCCTCGTTGAACATGCGCCCGATGAGCATCCTCCGGATCTCCTGCGTGCCCGCGCCGACCATGTAGAGGCGCGAGTCCCTCCAGAACCGCGCCACGGGGTAGTCTGTCGTGTGGGATCAATCAGGAGCAGCGGGGACAGATGGAAGCGATCGATGGGGCTCAGCGGGTGTCGCGCGCACACGACGACGGGCCGCGTCGAGAGCGAGGGAAGGGGGGGTCGCGCCGTACGCACCGTTCGTATAGCCGTTGCCGCCGCACGTCTGCATCGCCTCGGAAGTCACCGACACGCAGGCGTCGGACGAGTAGAGGATGGCGCCGGCGCAGTCCTAGAGGCGTCGTCGGGGGACGGCAGGTGACGGAGATGGGCGATTCGGGGGGAAGAGGCACACGTCAGTCGCCATGGCCCCGCCATGTATGATCGCTCGCAGAGGAAGGCCACGCGAAGCATCGACCGACACTCACACGTCGGCTGACCTTGCCGGCGTCGCACGCCCGGCCAACGGCGTAGACGTAGGCGCGCGAGGCACCGAGTCTCGTGTACATGTCTGTGGCAGGCAGCAGCGGGGCGCGAGGCGGGTCCATAGGGCGTGGCAAGTCAGCTCCTGTCTTCGTGCACATCCTCGTACTGACACCGCAGCGCGCCTCTTTGACCCCCTCGGCCACTCACCGGCAATCTTGCCCTGCATCAGCTGGAACTCTCCGATGCGCTGCCCAAACTGCTTGCGGTCGTGGGCGTACTCGGTGGCGTAGTCGAAGGCGGCCTGCATCAGGCCGAGCGGGCCGCCGCTGAGGACGAGGCGCTCGAGGTCGAGGCCGCTCATGAGGACGGCGGCGCCCTTGTTGAGCTTGCCCAGGATGTTTTCCTCGGGCACCTCGACATTGTCAAAGTGGATCTCGCACGTGTCGCTGCCGCGCATGCCGACCTTGTCGAGCTTGGGCAGCTGCGAGAAGCCCTTCATGCCCTTTTCCAGGATAAAGGCGGTGATGCCCTTGCTGCCTTCGCCCGTCTTGGCGTAGACGATGAAGGTCGAGGCGATGGGCGCGTTGGTGATCCACATCTTGCCGCCGTTGAGGACGTAGTGGTCGCCCTTCTTGACCGCCTTGGTCGTCATGCTGACGACGTCGGAGCCGGCGCCGGGCTCGGACATGGCGAGCGAGCCCACCTTGCGACCGGCGATGAGGTCCGGCAGGTACTTTTCCTTTTGCGCCTTGGTCCCGTGGCGGCGCAGCTGGTTGACGCACAGGTTCGAGTGCGCGCCGTACGACAGGCCGACGGAGCCCGACGCGCGCGAGAGCTCTGCGGGGGTGCGAGGTGGGCGGTGGGCGGTGGGCGGTGGGCGGTGGGCGGTGGGTGAAGAGTGGTCCACAGGTCAGCATCGCATCGACATTGGTCGCGGCGGCTGGCTCTCGTGCTGCGATTATCGGCCTGCCTGCGCGGGCAGCGCGCACTCACCCTCCATGACGATGGTGTGGTCGAGGTAACCCTTTCCGAGGCCGCCGTCCTCCTCGGGCACCGTGATGCCGAGGAGGCCCATGTCGCCGAGCTTCTGCCAGATGCCCTCGGGGCTCTTGTTGTCGCGGTCGATCTGGGCGGCGCGCTCCGGCGACAGCTCGGCGGCGACAAAGTTGGACACGGCCTCCTTGAGCTCGAGCTGGTCGTCGGTGAGGCCGGCGACGTCGTGGTTGTAGAAGCTCATCTGGCGCGACGCGCCCGCCATCGCTGCGACGGCCGAGCGGCGCGGTGCGGCGGCGGCGGCGGCAG